ACAATGCTTGGTGCTTGCTCTAATCACATGCTTTTCCCGGGAATCCAGACCCCTGGGCTGCAGACTCAGGGCCGCCCTGGGCTCCATTCTTTCCAGTTATCTCCCTGCTCAACTGGATTGGGCACTATTGTGTACCTGCTTGTGCTGACCGGGGGGGGGGGGGGGGCGGCGGGGGGGGGGGGGGGGGGAAGCCAAGGTCGTAGCCCCTAGGCACTGCAGCCGGGAAAGAGGAGAGAGGGGTAGGGTCAGGAGGGAGCAGGCAGGGGTGGGGGTTGTCAGGGGTGGGGCTTGGGCGGAAGGTGGAAGGCGGCTGGGAGTGGAGGGGCCTTACCCTTTGGACTGGATGGAGAGGGGGGCTGTGGGGACCCTGAGGCCCTGGGTACAACCAGGTGATCCGGACCCCAGGCAACTGTCCAGGCCCAGGGGGTCAGGCTCAGGCCCTGGCCTCAGATGGGGGTGCAGCAGGGACTGGCCAGGCCTGCTAGGGGCAGGATGGGGGCGGCTCTGGTCCCATCTCAAAACCAAGGGGTGTGTGTCCTTTCAATATAAGAACCGCGTGCCATCTTGAGAAACCGTGTAATAAATGTAATTCTTCACGTTTAAATGCAGATGTCACACACTGTTAAACTATTTACCATTTTTGACTGTTCATGATCGCTACTCACAATACACATTTGAAAATGGGCAAATGCAGAAGACACTTCATCCCAGTTTCTAGAACGGAGCCTCCAGACTGTTTGTCTGGGGACCGATTCCCCACGTTGTACTTGATCATAAATGCTTAGGATCACACATTCACATCCGAAGCAGAGTTCCTGTCTGCCTAAGAGTGTCTTTGAAGAAATTAGTGAGGTCTTAAAAAGCGTTCTTACACGAAGTAGAGAATCATATATAGGTAACTCAATTATGCATAAATACTCAGGATACAAGGGGGCATAAAGAAGTTTTGTAGATAATTAAAATATCTAAATTATGGGGCGCCTGGGTGGCTCAGTCGGTTAAGCGTCTGCCTTTGGCTCAGGTCATGATCCCAGGGTCCTGGGATC